AACTCCGCCCCCCTCGCCCCCCCTCCAGTTTCGCCGCCCTGTTGCTGCCTACTCTGGTCTAGGCGCCCATCCAGTCACTGACAGCGCACTTACATACACTTTTGGGTTGGGCATACGCAAACAAAGTCGACAAGACTCATTCGGGCTTATTCAGGTCTTTCGTCTGAGCCTATTAATTGAGAGCCCCTCGCCCTTTTAGACTGTTCTAAAAGATCTCAGCGGTTTCGCCACACTCCCTATTGTCCACGTCACAGCCATTGTGACGACTGACTGACTGATTGCTTCTCGTGGCTGACAAACCACTTTCGCTTTATCTACGCCATGCAACCTTCTACCACTTTCGACGACAATACAATCTCGTCAGTCAAATTGCAGACTGAACGAACTTCGTCTTTCCCCCTCCCCTCTATCCAACTATTTCCTCCTCACAACTCACCATCCGGCCCGTCAAACAGCACAAACAACACTACAACAATGGCGGCCAATTCTCCTCGCTCTGCGCAAGCGACCAGCGCAATGCCTCCTCCAGCCCATCCTGCCTCAATTCCTTCCAGGATGCATATCAACAGTCTGATGTCGCCTCCAGACCAAGCACACGATAGCTTCCATTACCACACCGTACAGGCCGACTCCTCCTTCTCCTCCAGCAAGAACGCTTCAGGGCAGACTCCGATGTCTCCTCCCATTTCGCCTTGCAACCGACCAATGGCCACCACCGAGACACCAACAAGCTCAACGGGCCGTGATATGGTCCTCTACCCAGAAGATGCGCCTTCCAGTCCACCCCAGACTTCTCTATTCGCAACCCTTGAGGATCGTGGCCATAGTCGAACGATTGAGGAACACATCCAAAAGAATATCAACGACAAGATCTTTGTTGAGGTGCAACCCCCAACACGCAATGACTACGAGCTTGTGGCTTCGTTTCAATCGCAACTCAACTCATCTTACGCACAAAACCCAAAGGCATGGATGCTGTCAGTCACTAGGCAGGCTCGTGAGGACAATCATCGCATAGCTCAAGCCAAAGCACGCGCTCGTCCCTTGGCAGCCAAAGCCCCCAAGATATCTCGGCCTCGCACCGATAATAATCGTGTTGCGAAACCTGCCGGGCGAACTATTCGCGTTCAGCCTACTAACAGCCCTAGACGACCAACGCCTCAGCTCAGTGCCAATGATGCCAACATCGTTGAGTCGAAACCTCGGTCTCAAGGCCCAGACAAAGATTTCGCGTCACTGCCGGATCTCTGTCCACCACCGAGCGTGGTCCCCGCGCAAAAGAACTGGTTCAAGGTGGATTGGAAGGGGCATCCACTCGACAACAGCAATGATCCCCATCGACATCTTCTTTCTCCTGACGAAGTAATGCTGGCAAGTCTTCTGCGCCTTGACTGTGCGACGTACTTGGCCAGCAAGAGACGCATCTTTATCGGCAGACTCGCCAATTTCAGGCGAGGGAAAGGCTTCCGCAAGACCGACGCCCAACAGGCTTGCAAGATTGATGTCAATAAGGCCTCCAAGCTCTGGACTGCCTTTGACAATGCTAAATGGTTTAAAGAGTCACTCCTGGAGCCATTTAAGGATGTCAGTCTGAACTAGTGCCCTTCACAAAGTTGGGCGCTTTCGAATCTCGTTGGCCACGGCGTAGCCTGTCCTTCGTTTGCCGCTTGTCTTCTGAGCAGTGATGGTTGTCACTGAAGGTTCACTTCACTTCACTTCATTTCATTTCATTTTTCTCCGCTGAACCCAAATGGCTGGGTCAGTATATGAGGATCAATCGGAACCACGGCACATTTACTTTTTTCTTTTGGGCGATACACCATAGCATTAGGGACTCTCATCTTCACGATACCCGGAGTGCATATATACCTGACCCTGACCCCTTTGCGATCATGTCACACCACTCCACAGTTTTCTTTGACTTCATTTTCTATCATGGATTTCGGTCTTGTCTTGTTCACCTCGCCCCTCTGAAGTCATGTCATCTTCGAGGTTGTTAAGGGCGAGAGATTGTGGACAGCGAGGTACAGCATGGATGGATGTTTGGCGTTATCTTGTATGGCCCCTCCCAGCAGACTCCGCTGGGGTTTAGGGAGCTATTTTATTTGGACTACCAGGATGCAAGCGTTGTGCGTACACGTGATGGCTAGTCATGGCCGTAGACTTGAACATCACTGGATGATTTCTGGTCAACGAGTATCGACTGTATGCGGGCGCGTGCCGAGGCAGAGGCACAACCTTCTGACCTTGAGCAGAGATTGGATTACGGTTGCCCTTTCGAAGGGAATAGCTAGGCAATAGCGAAATGAATTGTTTACCCAAGCACTTGCTGCATTGCCATGTCCGTCTGTCTGTGGGATGGATGAGAATGCTGATCTGATTGACGGAACGACGAAAAAAAGTCTACTTGACATGCTGTCGCAGGCCCATGAAAGAAAGTGCCTTGACTTCAGCCCTACACTACGATACACTACCATTTGGGGGCTGGTTCGCTTCCTCTAGAGGTTAAGCGTGAGCCATATTCTTGGGTAAGTAAGGGACATAACCTAAGCATGTTCTGACTGATGTGCGCGGGTGAAGCCGCTATTGCAGCGGGACCAAGCCATTGGCAAAAGAGGTACATTCCCAGTGACGTCTCACCAAAAGAGTACCTACCGAGGGAGGGGGGAGTGTGGACGGGAGGCCAGGCCAGGCCAGGGATTTGGGTGAGTGGTGGAGTTAGACAGCGGGAGCTTATCGGGTGGAGCAAGATGAGAGAGGAATAAGAAAAGTTAATATGTGGCGCTGTGGCTTGAAGATGTACACACGTTCAGCGTGTAAGAGGGACATATTGTTCAGGACTTGTGATGTTTATTTGTGAGAGATTGATAAGATGGGGGTTTGTTTAAAGACACGTTTGTGCTGCGGGAATGTGAGCATGTGCGTGTCTCCAGAGCCTGAGAGACAAATGGTGGAGCTTACAATAAAGCTTGTTTGCCAAGTTTGTCTCGATCACGTCGGTTGTATAAGTCAAAGCAAGGTGTATTTCAATAATCCTACATGATGATGCTATCAAGAACAAGTTCTGTTGTGAATGACGTGCCATAGAGGGAGGCCAATGAGGATAGAATGGGCCGGCATTCGGAGTGACTTGTGACTTGTGTACGTGTCTGTAGATATTAAACTCCGAGATGTGACTCAACAGAAAGTGAGGCTGTAGATCATTCCTGGACTTTCATGCTAAACTTTGTCAATGCACGTGTCCTTTCATTGCTGCCAATGAGTCTTGACGAACTTTGTCCTTCCCTTTCTTAGGGCCATCAGGGTTCTCGGAGCCGCCACCAAGTTGTGTATGATATGTAGCCTCTTACGAGACTAGTCAAAGCATATCATTTATCATGTATGGTTGAAGCTTCACGATTTCTATTGGTAACACAGCCGCATTGCACATATAAGTTTTCCTTGCGAAGCTAATTTTCAACCAATTAGCAGCCTTGTCATCCGGTATGGTGTAGTGGCTAACATTTCGCGCTCTCATAACCTGAGAGAACAAGTACCGCGGAGCCCAGGGTTCGATTCCCTGTACCGGAGTTTCTCTTTTGCACTTTTAGCTTCTGAATCTGTAGGTTGTATGTTGGTGATGTGTTCTTTTTGTTGGCGGTGGGTGATGAGCTGTCTTGTTGTTGAAGCGAGTGAGTTGGAGTTTGACTGAAAAGGATCATCAATCAATCAGTCTTCAGCAATTGCCCTTTGGGTACATAAACGGTGTTGAGCAGTGAGTGAGTGACTCCAGAATATTGACTGACTCCATCACTCGTTTCACCCTCAGCAATTGACTCTCTCTGCGGATTGTTGTGGTCAATCATCTTAAGTTCATGGCTTGTCGGTGCTGTAACTTATACTAAAGCACAACTCACCTCATGCCAGAGAGAGTGAGTGAGTGACATGTTCATATGACCAAGGTTATTCACTTCCAGCTTCAAACATTTGTAACTAGGGCACAAGTATTCAAGTTAGTATAAGTAAGCCGTGCAGTCATCACTAAGACGAATTGAAGTCGTGCTTGTCAATCATTACGGTTGATTCATTATGTCATATCCCTCTATAGTACAGCTTTTGTCCCCCTCTCAAGTTTACTGACCAGCGGCAATAGTGTAACCACCATCAACAGCAACAGTCTGTCCCACCAGGTACTGGTTCGTAGCAAAGAACAGCACTGTAGCAGCCATATCCTGATCCTTGCCAGCCCGTCCAGCGGGGACCTTCTCAGCATACTTCTCCTTGGGGATGAAGCTCTTCTGCGCCTCGTCGCTGCCATCGGTGGTCATCTCAGAGGGGAAGACACCGGGCGCAATGCCGTTGACGCGGATCTTGAGCTTATTGCTCACGATCTCGGCGGCGAGCATGCGTGTGAGATGCACGGCTGCGCCCTTGGAGGCGTTGTAGGCAAAGTGGTGCTGAGACTTCTGGATAAGACCGCTGATGGAGCTTATGTTGATGACTGTGGAACTCCAGCCCTGATGCTTCTCACTGCTCTTCTGCAAGAGCGGCAAGAAAGCAGCGGTGGTGAAATACATACCCGTAACGTTGGTGTTGTACGTCGAGTTCCAGTCCTCGAATGTAGCATCCTTGTTGTCGAAGAGGTTCTCCTTCATCTCCTGCGCAGAGTCGGCCTCGACCTGGAAAGAGGTGCTTGAAACACCAGCGTTGTTGACGAGAATGCAGAGGCAGTTCTCGCGGGAGGAGTACTCCTCATACAGCTTCTGAATGCCCTCCTTGTTGCCGATGTCGGCTTGGATGGGGATGATCTCGCCGGCGATGTTCTTGCCGTACTCCTCGACGACGGTGTCGAGCTTCTCCTTTGTGCGGCCGGTGATGTAGACCTTTGCGCCGTTGACGGCGAGAGCTTGAGTGGCCATGAGACCGATGCCAGAGCCACCACCTGAAGGCATCTGTTAGCCGCGTTTCTCACTGATGATGTCGTTGAGATAGATAGACGTACCTGTTACGAGAGCAACCTTGCCCGAGAGATCAAACAAAGCATCGCGAGAAAAGTCTCGGTGCTCGCCACCACTTGCTGGTTGTGTTCCCGACATTGTAGTAGCTGTAGTGAACTGAAAGTATTTTCTGCTACTCGACTGAAAGGTTCTTAGTTGACTTGGGGTTGAGACACAAGAGTTGTTAACAAAAGGAGTCGTGAGTCGAAGTGAAGGTGCAAGAAAGCTTCTGGAGCCGAGAATAAGAAACTGCCTGGACATGATTCTTATAACAAACAAACAATCCTTTAAATAAGAAAAAAGAGGGGTACACAATAAAAGGCAGAAACTGCAACTGGCAAGAACTGGCAGCTCAACCAATGCCCATCTTAACTTATGGCCCTCTCTCGTCTCATGCACCCAATGACCAATGACAATGACGAGCTCATGATGAGATCAGCACTTTGTCTCCTGCTCAATCCATGACGAAAGATGGCGGAGGAAGTGATCCGTGAATTGTGAGAGGAGGAAGGAGAGGGTAAGACAAGTGAAACAACAATTGGAGTCTTTTGCAGTGTGAGGTTCTATCATGACGTCGACGTGGGGTCAAGATGATGAATTGATCGGTCCTCATCGCGATCTTGACAAGCTTACAAAGAAAAGAAAGCGTGAGGAAACAACGTTGTTGATCAGCCAAGCCACATATTAGTTACCGTATTTAGAAATTAACGGGTGAATTGACCTCTCAGATCAAGGAATGGCTTTATAGCGTGTTCATGACTTTCAAGTAGAGGCGTGAGGCTTAACATCTACTCCCTGGATCCCCACTATAGCTTCAACGACATTCAACACCATCACGATCCCTTTTTAGAGGCATTGGCAGTTTCAACAACACTCGGTTGTTTTATTCACAGTAATCCTACACTTGCATCCGATATCGTCTCATTACAGACCTCAACGGCGTTACCCGACCCAAACGCCATTCCATGCATTACAAGTCTCCTTCATCCTCACCAAGCATCATCTATTTAACCTCAATGTGCTGCACTGCCTTCTGCCACTTTTGCTCATCCGTCCTATACACGAGATTAGTCCAGGCCCATCAAGGTTGTACGTAGTCAATACTTACTTGTCAAAGCGCAAGAGCTTGCCCAGCACCGGCACAAGCTGGGCTCTTAGCTTGGTGTCCTTCTGCTCCAAGAACTGCAGCAGAATTGTCTTGAGGTAGACCGTATCTGGAGTTCCGCCAGCGGCCGGCGAGCCATTGCTTCCGCTTCGTACTGAGTCGAACGAGCTACGGCTTGAGTTGGCCACGAGCTTGGTCTGCACTGACTTGAGATCCTTGGATACCTTCTCATATCGTTGCCTTGCCTCCTCCAACATTCGTCGTAACTCGGCTCGCTGCTTCTCAACATCACGAACTTGCTTCTCTGATGCATCGAGAGCTGTACGCAGCTGCGATGCTGTTGTTCTGAGCTCGTCCGCCTCAGCCTCAGCCTTCTTTTCCACCGATTCTAGCTCTTCTCGTCGTCGGCGCCACTCCTTCTCACGCTGCTCAAGCTCATCTCGTTCATGTGTCAGAGTCTTGACCTCGCGTTCCAGATCCTTCAGCTTCAGCTTCAAGTCTTCTGTCTCGCGTGTCTT